TTTTGTTTTTTTGTTCCTCTCTGTAATTGTTGAACTGGGCTTATGTCACTACATAAATAAAAACCATAGCTTCCACTTCCACAGTTGCATGTAGCCTTGCATTACTGAAGACTGACCCCATCATTTTCATGCAGTGATGTATAAAGATTCTAAACTGGAGAAAGTAAGAGTACAGATATAACAAATATATTAACAATGTATGAAATGTGAAAACCATGTCACAGTGTGAAAGAGGTCATTTGTACTGATGATTCAACAATTATCACCTGACTCTACAGCTCCCCTGTTCTAAATGGAGCTTTTGAGTATTTTTCAGTTGTTTGAAGGCCATGATTTGCTAACCCCTGGACACAGGAACATAGCTTAACCTCTCACACTAAGGTGGCAGATTTGAATCCTATCAAAGCTTCAAACACTGCTTGAGGTTCTTAGGCAGAGATATTCACTCAGTAAAATAAAATGAATGTTCATTACGTGGTCAAAACATGTGTTTTTTTCCTGTTAGTTAGTTCTCGTTTGTTTGTTTGTTTCAAAGATTCACACTCAGAAATGTGTTTTTCTTATTTTTATAGGCCTGCCCTGTCCCAACATTTATAGAAACAATCTTACATTTATTTTATTATTGTATTTATGCTTTAAGCCTTTTTTGGACTGAAGTTGAACATGTTTTATATATTATGTGGAATTAAGATAAATTTACAATAAAAAGATAATTTTAAAGAAAGAAAACAATAATATGGGAAAAGTCATATTTTTATTTTAATCTCATTTTATAAGCCAAATTGATATTTTATGATATTCATAAAACCACATGATCTGAAGGAAAACCCAACATACAACAACTCAAGAATAAAACATTGCTCTACTTTGAAAGTCTACAAGACAGAATAATCAGAAAGCCAACAGGATTGCTATTCATAACAATTTAAGGATCTTTAGGTAATTTAAATGTGCAGTGCCCTTTATGTGTTAATTTGTTAAAATGTTAAAATTATCTTTGATATTTTTTATTAATTTTTTAAGTCATTTTGATCCCCTTTCATACCCAGGAGGTGGCGATAATGTACCTTAAAGCTGTTTACTAACTGCCATTAAACTATCACAGAAGAAGAAGAACCTCGAACATTTTATTGTGGCGGACCAACATGGCCGTGCTCAAGAGAGGGTTATTCTACTTTAGTTTTCTCAGGTATGTATATATATTATAGGGAAGTAACATTAAACAGACAAGGTTTGTAACGAAATACATATACTTTATACGAAGCTAACCGCGCATTAAAACGTAACTTTAGTTGTCGACTTTACTATTGGAAAATTAAAATGTTTTGCTTCTTAAGAGCGCTAGCAACGATAACGGGAAGTTGTCAAAAGCACAGCTTAAATGTGTTTTTCTTGGCTAAATTAGTATTAACGTGTTTTCACAGTTTTACAGAATCTCGCCGAAGCAGCTTAGTATAAAGGAATTAATGACAGTATGAATATAAGCTACAAACAAGCTTCAGTTTCGATCTCAGTCTACTCGGTGATCGCTCTTTAGTCTTTTGTAAGATTACATAACAGTTCGATTCTGTAACGTTACTTCACTATAAAAAGTATGGCTTGAACTGGGAGTGGCTTGTTAAACGATAAGCGGATATTTTATTTATTTTATTGTTACTCTTTATTAGGAGTTCCACTCGTGTCCTGTTGAGCGTCAAAAGACTTGCAGTCCGTAAACCGGGAAAATGGACGAATACTCTGTACACCAGTATAGCGTCTTTAACCGTGGCCGGTGGGCTGTGTGCTGTACCTTTCAAACAGGTGAGTGTCATCTGCAGGGGACAGTCATAATAAAATATCTACAGTATAGAGACAAAGAAGGTATATTTGTATAATACCTTTTAAACAACAAGGCAATTCAAAGTGATTTGCACAAGGCAATATAAACATAGACGTTAATTTTGATTTTAAAGAGTAAAATAGAAGATAAAGCTTGAACAGATAAAATGCTTATTAATACAAATGAGAAAATTACATTGCAGTATGAAATATGAATACATCGTTCCAAATTGTGCTTAATAAACAGCATTGGCCATCAGAGATGTCTTAAGCTCTGATTTAAAAGAACTGAAAGTTGGAGCAGGATTTTGTTCCAGATATGTGGTGTATCCTGTTTCTCCATGCTTAGTTTTGACTCTGGGGACAACAAGCAGGTCTGTCTCAGGAGGTAAGAAAGGTTCATAATGGAGCAGCAATTCAGAATTTGCCCCTAGGCCATTACCTGTTTCATAAAACAACAGAGATTTAAGAACAATTCTCTGACATACATGAAATCATCGGAAAGGTCTGAGATCTGGAGTGATTTGATCCACTTTTCTGTTCTTAGCCAGCACCCTGAATCACATGTAGCTGTCTGGATTTATAGAGGGACTTGTAAAGACATCAATACAATAGTCAGACCTACTGAAGATAAACACATGGACAGATAAATCCTGCAGACATCAGTTCTTTAATTCTTGATTTTCTCAATGTGTTAAAAGGTTGAGCTTGTAATTGTCTTTATGTGGCAATCTTTATTTAGATTCAAGATTCAAAATTCCATTCAAGATTTCTGGCTTGGATTGATTTCTTTTACCATTAGCGTCTGAGCTAAGAACTGACATGTAATTGCTCATCTGAAACAATTATTTCAGTGTTGTCTTTGTTTATTTGAAGAAAAATGCCTGTGTTGTTTGGAATGGTAAGGCATTTTGCTTTCTATAATCTAAGCTAGTGGAAGAATGTGGCTTTTTAACAGAAGAGGCTTTAGAATGAGTTGTTATACACTCAAATATGTAACCAACTGACACTATAAGTAGTCCCTATCAAACAGTATACACTTGTTTCTTAATATTACCCAGGTCCTTGTTCTGTGCTTCTGCTGCAGGTTGAAAACCTCTCTCATGACTCCCTGATCAGACGAGCCGTCTCTCTAGCCACAGACAGTTCAAGCACCTTTCTCTCACAGACCACCTTGGCTTTCATAGATGCCATCACAGAGTATTCAAAAGTAAGTTTTTGTCCTGTGATAAACATTTTTACCCACGTTCATATTTATATCCACAGAAATGAGATGAACCTGTTCTCCTAACTAGCAGTCACTGGTTCTCTCAGAAGTCTCACAGTGATAAACATTACGTAGTGTTATGCACTTTTATTAAACTGAGCTACACCAGACACACTGCTTTCTTGACATATTAAAACCTATCTGTCTTGTGACACTTAGGTTTTTATGAGCTGCTGCATAAAGTGTATGTGCTGATGTTCAGATTTTAACTCCTCACCTCACACACCTAACAGAAGTTGGGTGAATAAAGTGAAGGACTGAAAATACAAATTTAGGGGTAAAAACAGAACTTTCTTTATTCTTCTTTTTTTGCCCTGAGTTTATTATGAAATCAGTCAGATAGAGGCAGAGCAGGTCATGGGTGCAAGGTATAGAGCTGTCCATGTCAGGATCTCTGTAATTTCTGCTGCCACTCCAATGCAGTAGAGCTAAATTTCTGGTACTCAAAGCATAAATATATTTATTTCCAAAAACACTGTGCTGGTTAGTGTGTTTTTTTTTTTAATGAATGAATGAATTATCATATTTTGAAAAGCATCCATACTCTAGAAAATCTTCCTCTATGTTCTCTGCCTCAGTAGGTTGTCTTTGATTTTTAATTGTTAACTGTGTATGTCCTTCCTCTGCTTGCTAACAGGCTGTGCACACACTTATTGCTCTCCAAAGACGATATTTGTCCTCACTGGAAAAATTGACTCCAGCAGAAGAGGATACAGTCTGGCAGGTGATCATTGGCCAGCGTGCAGAGGTTTGTCTGAGTTGTCCTCTTTGGTGACAAGTGTTTCAAAACAGTTCTGAGCATACCATTCAGGTTTTCTGTTGATGTATTGATAGCCACACCGTAAATATGACAGCACTCTTGCAAACCCTACAAACAGGCAGTTGAAGAGCTTTTGAAGTCTGACATGGGTTTTGTCCTGACAGGTTACTGAAAGACGAGATCAATGCAGGCGTTTCGAGTCAGCCTGGTTCAGTGCAGTCAAGCTGTGTGAAACTGCAGCTGAAGCAGCATACACATCAGGTGTGTAAAAGATAAGTGTCTCAGTGTGTGCCTGAGCTCTCTCATGGTTGCAGTGCTCTTGTTATGAGGAATACAAGTGTTAAGCTGTGAATCATCTTCTGAAAGCTTTGTAAGTTGCTGTTTGTGCCTGTTTCTATTCTGCTGCTGTTAGTGTTGAACTTTGCATAGTGTACGCATTGTTTTCTGTTGCTCAGCAGGGCTTTGTGTAAAACAAAATGGAGACAACAGGAGTGCCTGTCTCATGAATGTCTGAACTTGAGGTGGTGGTATATCAACCCTTCATGTTTGCCTTCCTGTGTTTCCAGGAGCGGAGCATGCATCCATCACAGTGAGGACAAACATACAGGTGGCGCAGTCGCAGGTGGATGAGGCACGGAAACTGTCAGTGGATGCAGAGAAGATGTTGATTGAGTCTGAAGTAATGGAGATTGAAAGGATGGCACAATATGCTGCGTCCGTAGAGAATAATAATGAGCAGGAAGAGATGCCTGAGGCTTATCTAAGAGAGGACTGAAATACCCAGAGATGTCAGAAAACTGAAGAAAGCATAAAAAGACTCTTTCACATTAAATGATAAGTTAAAAAAAATCATCCCTCCAATGTGTTCTTTCATTTCCATGTGTCATTTGTAGTAGCTCATGCTCACATTAGCACGTAAGCTGAAAAAGTGAATCCGACAAAATGAGAACAAACCTCTCCATAAGTGTTCACCTCATTTTTGGCTCATTTATTGTTTGAACACTGATTATCAACTGCTTATGCAGCACAGGTGATTATACAGCCCACTGTTTATTGTTGAGATTTGATCAGCATCAAATCTTTGTGTCAGAATTCATTGTAATAAAGATAAAACTGTGTTAAAAAAACTTTATGGTGTTGAAAGATCAGAAAATGAAATATTGTGTTTAATTTTGTTTACTAGATGAATATTTTGTTTACTGAAGTGACTTTTGGATTAGATTTGGTACTGTTTTTGCTATAGGCTGTTTTTTGTAACATGTTGATCCTGATGACTGAAAAATATTTAACCAGTGGTAAAAAAGGAGGGAATGTGTCCACTTCTGCTGCCATGGGATAGGACTTTTTTTGAAACCAGCTTTTACCAGATCTCTTTAATTGCTGGCTTGAAAAGATGTTATACATGACAGGTGTCTGTGCAAACTGTGTGGAACAAAATATCTTCTGTGATTGTGGGCACAAAAATGACAGCGGCCACTCTGTAAACAACGCGACGCCACACAGACGGCCAAGTGACACATTTTTTGCATGTTTCTGTTGGTGGTTGGTTTTCCTCTGAGAGCATTTTTAAAGGCAGTGTTGCTTTACTTGTAATTTGTATCTCTCTTTTTCACTCAACATCTCTACCTTCACTGCAAATTACCCATGTCCTGACTCTTTTCTAAAGAGTTTTTAGACCATATCTCAGCTCCCAGTTGTCATCACTTCATCGACTGTGTCATCTCTTTCCACACAGGGACAGGACAAAAACAAACCACTCTACCTCAACATTAAAACAGTGGAAGAAGTGTTGTGAGGTAAAAGAATATCATAATTGGATAGTTTCGTTTACTGGGACACAAGTTACAAAATGATTTCTTTAATTCAGATTGAGGTTAAGCTATTGGCGGGTGATCGAACTCGAGATTAAGCAGACAGACTTTATTTGCATGTAGACAAGTCACTTTGTATCAACTGCTGAAATAAACAGTATGATTTTACAATTTCAGACAATGTTGTTCTGCTAAGTGTTGAACTAAACATCCTCTATAACTTCCTTTTGTTTTTAAGCTTCATTCCAGTAGATGGCGATCTACATCCAATTTAAAATTGGAAGGGCTGTGATTTCTTTTTATGCTTTGTGGGCAACAGCTTGCTTCATTTTCAGATGGCTGTTAATATACCACAAAGTTTGAAGAATCAGAGAATTTATCAGCTCTGAAATGGTCATCAGCTGCCAGTTCCAAATGGAGATTCTTGTCTTGCCTTACAAGTCATAATGAGTCAATTAAGGCCAAATGACTTCCATCAAGTAGCAGGGTGCTCAGACTTGCAATAGAAAATAACAATGTTAATGTAATATACACTAAAGTATGATTGGTATGACATGAATTTTAATCAGTTTGAACTCCAATTAATTTCCATCGCCTTCTTTTCTCACTTCATGCCTTCACATGATATAAAATATTGGGGAAAGGTAAACTACACTTTAAAAACATACAGCTAACCTGCACATTTATTTCCACTCAGTGTAGAAGCCTTATCTTGCAGTGATGTGGATGTGCCCTGTAACAGGTATACTCTCTTAATTGCCCTCATGTGTGCCTTTCAAAGGTCAGTGTGTACTGCAGTGGGCCATTTCAGAGGGAGCTCATTACCTGTTTGGAGCTGCAAACACAACTGTGTATCGTCAGCAGTGAGGTGACCTCTCCCTGCATTACATAGTAGAGCCTTGGCAGGGGACAGGACTGAGAGTGTGGCTAAAGAGGGGGATGGGGAGGTTTTGAGGTGTGTAAAGACTGGCTCACCAATGTGACTAGTGAGGAATGTTGTGTTTAACAAAGGCTGTTTTCACAGACTGTAAGACCAAATGTCCCAGACAGTCTGTGTGGATGTGCACCCACTGGTCACAGGGGAGGTGGTGCCAATGCGCCTTCTCTGCCTGGTAGATTAAGAACGTTTGCAGAATAAAACCTTGATGAGGTAACCACAATTACAAAGGTCATGGGCTATAAATGCTCATAAACTAGTGCTATTGAGAGGATTTGAGCATTTATGCAGCACAGGTTATACCAGCGATGCAAAATTGGCCCCACGGAAACAATTTCACTGAAACTGGTGAAATCATTAACACATTATATGGTTTATCAAAGAAAGCACTATGTGATTTATCATCTAATGAAGACATGAAACTCCTCACTGACTTAACTGTTCCAATGAAAAGTGGCCCAGGAGTTTAGATTGATTGGTGAAAAGGGCAGCACGTTCACTTGGGGATTTATAACTCTTTGAGGATATAAATAAACCACCAGAGGATATAGAGGCAGGGGGTATAGTGTGGTGACACATCACGGGTCATGCTTTAATCACAGTAAAACTTTGCTGTAGCACTAGGAGAGAGAGCAGGTGAAACTGTACAGGAGTTGGAGGCTCCCTGTAGAGCTCACATCCCCTGATGAGAACGCCAAACTATTACAAGATATGAAGACATCACTGCTGAATGAAACGGGTATCTCAGTACAATGGAACCACACTGAAATGGGCATTGTGCTTATCTTCACTGAATAAATATGATGTCCACCTGAAACTGCTGCAGGAGCAAGTTTGTCAGTTCAAGCTACAGTGCATGATAATAACACTATGCTGCACATGGCGCCAGATTCCTGAATGTGTGAAAGCTGTAATTATCTCAAATAAAAGAACAATGCAGGCGAGTGTTTCATTACCATTTCATTTTAGGACCGAGTAGCAACCGTAAGTGTGCCTTTCAAAGGTCAGAAACAGAAATCAGTGAAGTGCTTTAGTTGCATGTGACTGCTTTGTCCTTCAGCAGCCGATCTGGGGTTTATATTAACTTTCATGTCCTTGTTTTTCTTACGATATCTCTAGAATATCTTTATAACACTGGCTACACACTGATTACAATGTGTGGTTCAACAGTCTCCAACATAATAATCACTGATGCATCATTTCTGTAGAATTTGTCATTTTATAGATTATAAAAATAGATTATAGTAACTTTGACAGTTTTGTGTAAACAGTTTTTATATTTGAAAAGATAGAATGGACGTATGGTAATGTAGTTGTGGCCTTTGTGTGTAAAATTAACGAAACATATTCTATGTAAAATCTAGGTTGTCCATATTTTAAATGATGTTATCCCATATATCAATATATATTTACATTTTATGCTGTATGTCAATTCACATTTAAAACCCTGCATATAAAAACTTTATCTATAGGTTCTGATTCTGGTGGTTAGAGAGACGACAGAGTAACCAGGTTTGATCCCTCCAACAGATGAAGGTGTAGTGTCTTCTTAAGACAAGACAATGAACTTTTATCTGTTAATAGAGTTTATTTGTACACCAATGGTTTCATTACTGTTTACTGTGCATGAGGGAACAAGGGGATTCCCTACTGACCCACACTAAATTTCACTTTTATTTGTTTTAAAAGAATGAGAGACAATATCCACAAATATCACTATTTTATACTTTATTAAATGTTAAACAATTTTTGACTCAGTGATCAGTTCTATTCAAGGTCAGCTAAACTCTATATGGGGGCCCCACTGACCCTCATTTCTCTCACTTTTTGTAAATTATAAATTAGTTAGAAATTAGTCATTATTTTGTGATAACCTCAATCAGTTTCATCTCTTCTACTTATCTATCTGACTAACTTGCAATTCATTTCAGATTTATACTACTGGTTGGTTTGTGGGTGCCTAGGGAAATAATCAAACTACCTTGTACAGTGGGGGTCAATAGGGGCCCTCTGCATTAACATAGAAATGCTGAAGCAAAGTACAAGTGCCACAAAATTCCACTTAAGTAGAGAACCCTGGCTGTACTTTTAATACCTTCTACCACTATGGACAAATTAAACCAAACAGTGATGATTAAAAGTCGATCAAACAGCTACAAAGAAAAGCAGGAGTGATACAAAATAACCTGCAAGTGATGAAAAATAGACACAAAACAGTCACAGAGGCTTCTGATTCATAAGTAAAAGTAGCAATGTCACAGTGTAAATATGCTCAGTTACAAGTAAAAGTCCTGTATTCAAAAAGTTTTAGCATCAAAAACAGTGCCAAAAGTAAAAGTACTCATTAAGCCAAATGGCACATTTCACATTAATACATATTATTAGATTATAGTCATTGATGTGTATGTGTGTACATATTATGATGGAGCTAATGTGAACAACCTTATATCCTTATAAGCTGAATGACTGGGTAACTTGTGAATTTCTCACTATGGATCAAGTCTTGTGATTATACTGCATTTTGTGTAGTTAATCTGATTCTGAAAAGTAAGTTATCAAATAAATGTAGTAGAGTATTAAGTATAATATTTGCATTTTAAAATTTAGTGAAGTCGGAGTATGAAGTAGCACAAAATGAACATAGCCTACTCAAGAAAGCCAGGAAAAGTACAGACACCTTAAAATTGTACTTTAATGTAGCACCTGGACTTTGTTACATTCCACCACTGCGCAAAACAATTATAAAGAAACAAACAACAACAAACGATGCTGCGTATGTATGAAGGATAGAGGGTCTTCAACATGTTTCTGCCCAGGGACACACGGAATCCGTCCAGGACTATTGAGGACAAATGAAACTAAATGGCGATCCGTGGGATAGTGTGCGTGCGTGCGTGCGTGCGTGAATACGTATGCTACGTTTATTTTGTTGTCCTGTGGAGTTGGTACAACCCACGCGGATCGGTCGTTATGGAGAGCAGCTCCCCAGGAGCGCTAGCCAGCCAGAGAGAGCAGGGACGAGCGAGGAGGAGGAGGACGGATCAGTGAGAGCCGGAGCGCTCAGACAGATAGGAACCATGGAGAAACGATTACCGAGGAGGAGTTTGCCGTCTAACGGACTGCGACTTTTAACATCACTTCTCACCTTATATGGGCTTACATGTGAGTTAACAGTTTCATATGGTGCTACTTTAAAGGCCAGTGAAAGAAGTTGCACTGGAGCTACTCGGAGTGTCTCCCGTTAGTTAGTCACCGATTATGAACGCCAGAACCGGCCAGTCATTGTTGTGTTGACGTGGGTTCAAACCGTGCTAGCGTTGTATAAGCTAACGGTTCTTGTCTGTGGACACTTATCCTAACATTTTATCAGTATGAAAATATCTGCTGGTTTCAGTTCGCCGTTAGCTAAACCTAGTTTGCCTTTTTCCATTTGAATACAACTCCGCTACTAATAGTAAAGTTATACAGCCTCAGAGCAACTGCTAATTGTACACGTTAGATTTTCAGCCAAAACGACTCCACTCGGGACAGGAGACAACTTTACACGGTGCACTGATTTGGTGGTAATTATACGCACATTTTCTAGCTAACGTTACTTCCAGTATGTCCCATCATGACTTGGCTAACATTACTCAGGGAGTGTGTGGGGAAATACCGGCTGGTTTCTCTCCCACTCAGATAGCTGGGAACACAGTGAAGGATGCAGCAGTGATTCGCGGTGTACAAAAATAGAAACCAAATGGAGTAGCCTACTCGGTTATAGTGAGCCAAGAGGAGCTCCTCTGTGAAAAGTTTGCCAAGTGTTTGGACACGTATGTGGGATAAACGTTATGTGATACATGGTGTGTAACTAAAACATTCACTCAGACATAATTCTAACAAGATTAATATGAGAAAACAACTGGTGTCATGGTAACTGTAGGTCACATTTCAGAATCAACACTGCCATCTAACCTTGAAGCAAAGCAGACTAGAGCAGACTTTGAATCTTACTAAACTGCATTAATAACACATTAAAATCTAATAATTATCTAACACTTGCTAAGACAAAAGAAGGGATAAACACAGATGGATACAAAAGTAAATACTGCCCAGGAATGCTCCATTTGTTTTCCCAGAATGCTAGAGGGGGAAATATTTTAACTGTAGTAAGTGATATACTAAAAACAGGCTTTTTAAAGTTGTTAAAGAGAATGATGTCTCCCTCAGTTTCCCAGAGCCAAAGACCACCAGTGCAAAACACATCCATATTTAGTTAAATTTTTTCTTTTGCTTATTTTCAGAAAAAAAAAGTCTTAAAGCAATTATTTGAATATTAAACTGGTGAGTGATTAATAGTGCTTATCAACTAATCACCAAATCATTAAAGCTCTTTTTTTTAGTATAGCATAACCAGCCCTTTACTGGATTTTTAAAGGTTGATAGTGATATATTAATGGTTTAAAATATCTGCTAATGATGTATGGGCACACATTTATGTTTTCACAACAAAAATGTTTGGTAAGTGTTTTTTCAAGACTTGCACTGATTGGGACAGTTTTAAATTATGATGAATTATATAATGGAAGAACTTTTTAAATAACCTCAAATAGATCTCTGGCATTTGTTTGCTGCAGTTTCTTGTTATCATCTAGCACATTTTAAGATAAGATATATGTGTGAAAACATAATATTGGCCGGTATAATTTCCTAGCAGATTCCTCTGACTCTATAGTTTTTCTGCAGCTGCAACCAGCATCATCTCTGTTTTGCTTACAACCTCACACACACTAGCAACACATACTTTTACAGGCTTCTCTTCATACCATGCTTTTTCTGTCTGTACCCATAAAACACTTGTTCATAAATCAACACAGGGACCTGATAAACAAAGCAATGTTACAAACTAAGCTGATTAGCCTCCCTATGTACTGTTTGGTGCTATGTGCATGCAGGTTTTCAGTCCAACTAGGTGCCTTGACAGCTACGTTTGCTAATTATTAACACAGAGGACAGACCAGCCAGTGAACAGTTAGTTTTTTGTGTTGTGTTTGGAACAGAAATGTGTCTGTGACTCTGTGACATATGGTTGGAGCCCATGTGGCCTGTTTAGGAAAGCACAAGTGTGCAGTGGGACTTTGTGGCACAAACAGTTTTGATGTCAGTTTCTTTGATTGTGATCACTTTCACGTTGATGGAGTTGTGAGGAGGGGATTCATGTGAGGCGTGGCTACAGGCTGTGAGGTCTGTAATTGAAGACCATAGTTTTGTGGGTTCTTCTTTTGGGGCCACATGATTCACAAACTAAATAAATAATCTAGTAATGGAGCCACCACAATTACAGACTCAAAACAGAAATAGATTTAAAAAGCAGTGCCCCAACTGAGCAAAGTTGTTCCTTTATAGAGGTTAATGTGCTTCAGTGGTTATTAATTGACAGCAAGATGTAGCCAAGAAAGCAGGTTTGCCATTTAAGAAGTACCACATGCATAAGGCAGATCAGACCACAATATCTTTTTTTGGAACTTGTGCTTGGGGGAGGTGGTTAGATAATGCCATTGTCAGTCTGAACATTAAATTTGTTATACATATAGAAACAATCCCTTTTAGACATGCACTCCTTTCGATTAATCTGATGAGCACTCTGGTCACTTCTCGTAAAAGTTGTGATGGGAAACTTATTAGGTTCAATCTAGTAACATTTACATATCACTCAACACGGTACAAGTCTGAACTGCATGTAGCTCCTTAGGTGGATAGGGACTCACAAGATATCAATGTACTGAGAAAGGACATTGCTACGTATAGTGGGCCTACCAATCACAACCGTCTAGGGGTACATTCCAAGTCTCTTATATGATCATTCCTCTCCTCTATCCTAGGGCTGTCACTTTTTATTTGAATTTTGAACATTCATTCGAACATGGTAAAAAAAAAAAAACAATTCAAACTGTAATGACCTGTCGGAATTCAACAGTGCACACTATGTCAGTAGGCGCAGTAGGCCATTTGATGTAATTTGCCTTGTGTTCCAACAGAGGGCTTTCTTAAAATTCACTATCAGCTTGACCAGTTACATGTCCTGTTGACATCTTAGTAAAGTAAGCTGGTAGCATTATGTTTGCAAGGACAAAATGTGGGATAGTAGAGAGCAAACTTGTGCTGATTGGACAGTAATGACACTGGAGCAGTGTCAAGGTTAAACAGTTTGCCGAATCTGCAAAAAAGCAGATGCCCGCTCAACTACAACAACAAATCTGAGGACTCACCTGCAATCTTGTTAAGTGAGACACAGAAGTTAATGTTACCACGGTGGAGCAGCGTCCCTTCTACATCCTTCTACTGTCCTACCCCTGTAGCTTAATTGCTCTGAAGAAGACCGGTGGCCGGTGGGTCAAAGTTGGCCACACGCTCTAAAAACATCATGTAAGCTTTCAGCGTGCAGTCATTTATATTATTTTTCTACCGCTGCAGTATAACCCCAAATCAGAAAAAGTTGAGATGGTATGTAAAATCCACATTAAAACCGAAGTAGTGATGTGTAAATCATCTGTGTCCTGTGTTACATTGAAAACAATACAGCAGCACATTATTTTATTTGATACTTCATCAATTTTATTCTTTGTTTGAAAGAATAAACACACTTAAATTCTGATGCCTGCAACATATTCCAAAAACAGTACAGTACAGTAAAGCATTTACCACGGTGTGATGTTGCCATTCCTTTTTTACAACACTTAAAAGACGTTTAGGGACTGACGACACCAAGTGATTAAGCGTATAAGGTATAATTTTGTCCCATTCTTCCTGCAAACAAGTCTTAAGATGAACAACAGTCCTGGGTCTATTCTCTACTGGGAGCAGGTCGGGACTGCAGGTGGCCAGTCCAGCACTCGCACCCTTTTCCTCCACAGCAGTGCCTTGGTAATGTGTGCTGTATGAGGTGTCGCATTGTCTTGTTGAAATATGCATGGTCGTCCCTGGACATGATGTCGTCTTGAAGGCAACATATGTTGCTCCGAAATCTTTGTATTTTACAGGATTAATGGGGCCATCACAGAAGTGTAAGTACCTTAGCCAAGGGCACTGACATGACCCCAGACCATGACAGACCCTGGCTTTTGGACTTGTTGCTGGTAACAGTCTGGATGGTCCTTTTCGTCTTTGTTCTGGAGCACACGGCGTCCATTCCTTCCAAAACAGACCTGAAATACTGATTCGTCTGACCACAGTACATGTTTCCACTGTGTGATGGTCCATCCCAGATGACTCTGAGCCCAGAGCAGTCGACTGCACTTCCGGACACTGTTGACATAGGGCTTCCTTTTGGCGCGGTACAGTTTTAGGCCGTATTTATGGATACAACTATGTATTGCAGTGCCTTTATTAGAAAGTTGGTGAAAGGAGGAAAGGATGTCTCGCATCTCTAAAAATGTCTTTCCTTAAGTCCTCTATCCTCACATTTTTTTCCTGGCATCTTTATATCACATTTTACGTGGGCTGGACTAAGACAAGGAAAAGACACAAATGAGGGAAACATGGATGCTTTCAAGAGACTTGGGATGTTCCCTATCTGTTTTAGCATTTGGCTGTACATCTGATCCTCTCATTTGATGTTAAATCTCAGTTGTGAAGCAGCAGAGTATAAACTCTTAATCATATTAAATGCATGCCATGTTTCTCTTTGAAGGAAGGCCATCGGGCGATGAATGTGCTGCTTTATTGTGGAACATGGAGGCTGTGTGTGGGGTTCAGGGAGCAGGCTGTGGTCGCCAGCCTCTGTTGACTCCACCCTTTGCTTCCTCTTCTTGACAGATGTGACTGTCAGAGGCGTTGTTTGGCAAGCTGCTCTCCCGTGGTCCATTAGTGAACTCAGAGCTGTAACCCCAGTTTTATCCTATCCCTGGTCCTATCTGTAAGAAGGATAAATAAGTCAGTTGTTTACTGCTTTCATTAGGAATCACTTATCCATTTAGGACTACCTGCGCTAACCTGAATTACCCTAACTAAAAATACTGTATGTAGTATGTATGTAATATTGTCTCGTGTTTTTTCTAATAAGGAAACATGTCACCCAGTGCAGTACTGTGTTTTACAATGGAGGTCTGTGGCACAGACAAATAAGATAATCCAAGACTGGCAGACATGAACCATGAGTAGAGACAAATCACTGTTGATTCTAG